AGAGAAGACAGGAGGTACCAGGAGGGAGGTCAGACTCACCCCCCGCCCCCCCCCCCCACCTCAGGCTGGACCGGCGAAGTAAGTTAGAGGAAGTTGGTTGGTTCACCTGTGCGGTCGGGTTCTGAACCCCCGCGAGAGCCTTAAGCAGAGAGCGAAGGAGAGAGAGAGGAGAGAGAGAGAGAGAGAGAGAGAGAGAGAGAGAGAGAGAGAGAGAGAGAGAGAGAGAGAGAGAGAGAGAGAGAAGAGAGAGAGAGAGAGAGAGAGGGAAGGGAGGAGGAAGGAAGGAGGGAAGGGAGGGAGGAGAGGGAGGAGAGAGAGAGAGAGAGAGAGAGAGAGAGAGAGAGAGAGAGAGAGAGAGAGAGAGAGAGAGAGAGAGAGAGAGAGAGGAGAGAAGGAGGAAGGAGGGGAGGGAGAGAGAGAGAGAGAGAGAGAGAGAGAGAGAGAGAGAGAGAGAGAGAGAGAGAGAGAGAGAGAGAGAGAGAGAGAGAGAGAGAGAGAGAGAGAGAGAGAGAACATAAGTAAAGAGGGAGATGCTTTCATCATTAACAACTTCTGCTCATCATAAGTTCTTGTATTTCGAAAGGACCGGTATTCTCAATAATATTCATAATTCAGCTTCTATCATTGCATATCTTCCTCATCCTACCATCTCTCTCTCTCTCTCTCTCTCTCTCTTCTCTCTTCTCTCTCTCTCTCTCTCTCTCTCTCTCTCTCTCTCTCTCTCTCTCTCTCTCTCTCTCTCTCTCTCTCTCTCTGTCTTTCTCTCTTTCTCTCTCTCTCTCTCTCTTCTCTCTGCTTTCTCCCAGGCCTCTCCTTTCTCATCGCATATCTCTTTCTCCTTCTCCTATTTTTCTTCTTCCCTTCCTAACTCTTCTTCCTCCTCTTTCACCTTTTCCTTCAACCTTCACTACTCCCTACTCCTCAGAGTTCTCCCCGTCCTACACCTATTCCCCTCGCCTCCCCCTCCATCTCCCCTCCTCCTCCTCCATTCCCGATTCTTTCCTCCTCTCTCTTACCAGTCCTCTGCCTCTCCTTATCCCATCACTTTCCCCTTCTCACCTTTCATCCTCCTCTCTTTCTTTCTTCTTCTCTTCACCACACTTCTCCTTCTTCTAACTTCACCTCCCCCTCCTCTCCTCTCCTCCTCCTCCTCCTCCTCCCTCCCCTCCCCCTCCCCCTCCTCCTCCTCTTCCTCCTCCTCCTCCTGCCCCCTCCTCCCTCCCTCCTCCTCTCTTCCCCCCCTCCTCTCCTCCCCCCCTCCTCTCTCCTCCCCCCCCCCTCGTCGTCGAGGGTGTGGGCGCCGCGAAAGATAAGTGCGCCTGAGGTGATGGTCGAGAGTGGGCGGCCTTACTACCTTTTTACAAGGACGCGCCCGCCCCTCGCTGGCAGCCGGAAGGAGATGGGGGGAAGGGGGGAGGGGAGGGGGAGGGAGGGAAGGGAGGGGAGGGGGAGGGGAAGAGGGATGGAAAGAAGAGGAAGGGGGAAGAAGAGGAGTTAAGGGCAGGGGGGAGGGGAGAGGGAGAGTTACGGGACGGGGGGAGGAGGAAAAGGGAGAGGGAATTAAGGGAGAGAGGAGAGACGAGGGGCAGTTAAGGGAGTTGGAAAGGGGGGGGAAGGAGGAGGTGTCAAGGGGGGAGAACAGAAGGGGAGATAAAGGAGGGAGAGAGGAGGGAGGAGGGTTTAAGGGAGAAGGGAAAAGGAGGAGGAAGGAGAAGGGTTTAAGAAAGAGGGGAAAAGGAGGAGAAAGGAGGAGGGTTTAAGGGAGAGGGGGAAGGAGGAGGACTAGAAAGGGAGGGGAGTGCATAGCAAGTGGAAGACGTGGACAAGAAGAAGAAGACAGATGAAGATAATAACAACGACTATGGTATAAGGCACAACTGATAAAGAACAGGAAATACAAGAGAAATAACAATTATCCTTATATCGAAACATTTCACTGTCATCATATTACGTTTACAAAAAAAAAAAAAGAAAAAAAAAATCTAGTATTTCAATTCACAACCATCATTGGAAGGGCAATCATCATACCACTCAGGCCCGGTGATGAAACGGCCTTGCGTGTGATGATGGTGATGAAATGAAATGTGGGGAGAAAATTAAATCATGGGAAAAATGAGTGAAAAAAGTTGATATTTGAGAAAGGAGAAAGACAGAAAATAAAGAGAACGAGAAATGGAAAGGGAAGTTAGTATGGAGAAGGGGAAGGAGGGAAGGAGTGAGGGAGGGAGGGAGGGGAGAGTAGGAGGAGAGAGAGAGAGAGAGAGAGAGAGAGAGAGAGAGAGAGAGAGAGAGAGAGAGAGAGAGAGAGAGAAGGAGAGAGGAGAGAAATGAAGAGAGAGAGAGAGGAGGAGAGAAGAGAGAAAAGAAAATAAGAATAGAGAAGATGCAGAACAAGATCAGCGAGTTATGACAAAATTCTAAATACGTCGGATGTTTAAGTCACCCCCATTTTTTTTACAGTTACACAAGCAAACATTCTCTTCTCCATTTTCGTCTCAAAATAAACAGAATGAGTTGGGCGGCCACCATGACAGCTGAAATATGTTGCAGTTCTCTTACAAAGGTCAACAGCAACCTATCAATCAAGCAATTGCTCTCAGGAATAATACCATGCACTTACGGATCCAC